TTGCACGCGAGAACAGAATGATGGGGAGACAATAAAAATGCCTATTGGAGAATGGCGTCTTAGGCTCCACATTCATCTTCACCTCGAGACGGTGCCGGCTTGTCCAGTTTGATAAGGTCATCGATACGAAGAATGGTGATTGCTGCCTCAGTTGCGAATTTCAAAGATTTAACCTAATCATCGATTGGAAGTATGGAGAAAGACAGTATGTCTGAAGCATAAGCTTACCTTACTAAGAAGTGGCTCAATAACCCCAGCAACGCGGTTGTCGCGAATATCACCGTTTTCCAAATCCAAACCAGCCCTAAAAGTCGCATATTCAATTCTAGGCGAGGCTGTTTCCCCGTATAATAATAGAATTTCATTTACCCAGAACGGCGATGTCAAAAAACAAGTTGTTGGAGGAAATTTTCTAAAATCCCAAGTCTTCAAAGCTGTAAGATGATTCAATAGCTAGAATTTAAGCAAACGTAATTTGGAAAATCAGACCCAAATCGATTGAAAATCTAAAGTTATCCAAGAATCAATTTTGAAAATACACCACCCGCAATCGTCTAGAAAAAACCTGTAAATTGCGAATGATGCTCGACTGCCAATCGTAGTGCGAACAGATTAAAAAGGTTCCGTACATTATTTACATTTATTGATAACAGAAAATATATAAAAGAGTTGCGTAAGTAAGAATAATTTCAAAACAAAAAGTGCTCCGCATAAGTGCCCCAAACCCAGTTTTTTAGAAAAACGAAAAGAAACATATGAAGCAATTACTTTGTTATCAGTGAGATGGGAGAGGTGGGCCTAAAAAAATCTACACTTTTTACTTGAAGTATTGGCTTCGGGTAGGGTGAATATTGTAAATATGGAGACTAATTCCGAAGCAGGAATAAATCGAACAAACTTACCACTTAAGATGTTGTAATTGCAGATTCGTCTGGGCCTTATGGTGGAAAGCTCTCAATTTTGCGACAAGTTCTGTAGAATCTTTAGCAGCGTTGGCGGACAGAGTTTTTGGAATGACCAGTAAAGCTTGTGCAAATTCAGCAACGGCAAGTTGTTCGCGCGAAGACTAAATCAATTTTTAGTTCGAGTTCTATTTTAAAAAGTGTGCAACTAACCAAAGTCGTAGCAAACGCTTCCAGCCAAACATTCAAAGCCGCTTCAACAGCTCCTCCGCCCACCACCAACCGACGGCTTTCTAAAACACGGCGTACAACGCACAAGGCATCATGTACAGAACGTTCCATTTCATCGAGCATAACGTCGTTTGCACCACTAAAACTTAGAATTTTATGGAAAGACAAACTTATATTGAAGGGTTGTCTTACCGCAGAATTATAGAACTTGCAGTGCGCGCTTTGGGCCCTTTAATTAAAATCAACTCATCGTCACTAATGCGCTCCTGAACTACTTCGTCCGCATGACCCAGAAGCGAAGCATCGAATGCCTCATCACCCTCCAACGTGGCCAACGAGCTAACAAGAGTAGCTGCAAGGTTCAGAATTAGAGGTTACAAATTATTCAGATGGGCGTCTATGAATCACACCCCACCCCCAGTGGCCTTTGCGATGCGCTTCAAGTCCGTCTTTTTACAACGGCGAACAGCCATAGCACCTGTCTCTACGAA